TACAATGAAAAACTGAACCCCAATTCAGTCATTTAGTAAAAGGAAATAACATGAAACGTTTGAAGGAACAAGTGGATTTAGATAATCAGTGACTATCCCCCCCCCAAAAAAATAAAAATAAAAAAAAATACTGAACCAGTGCACTGTCCCAAGCTCCAGTTTGCTTCCAGAAATGCTGTCTTGGAAGGATTAACTAACAACACTGTTGTTTTTGTAGCAAAGTCAGCAGCCACAGCTGTCCCCAGATGCCCTGGAATCCAGCATCATTTTTAGCTCTGAGCAGTACAATAAATCTTGCCCTTTTGTAGGTACACACCATTTTCATCTCAACTAGTAATTAGCAACTGGTGCTACAGAAATCCAAACATACAACACAGGGACAGTAAAGTTTATCCATTTGGCAACCACACTGACATACAAATCAAGCCCACCAATTTAAGCTCAGTTGTGATTATGTAACATTATCAGTGCTTTTCTTCTCACGCATGATGTCATATTGGATTCTTTGCCAAGCAGGTTATGCAGAAATGTCCGAGCAAGGGGAAGGCGTAATGCAGACAGCGTAGCTGCCTTTTTCCGTTGCGTGTAGCGTGAGTCCGTTCAGAAAATCTCGCATTTTACTCCATGTTGCTCACAACGGTATGACGAAAATCTTTTTTTTTTTTTAATGCGGGGAGAGGGGTGGTGGTGGTCCTGAACATACAGGGTTGTCTTTCTACACAAAAATGGGAATAAAAGTGCTCGTAGGTGGATGCTACACTGACCACAAAAAAGTGAGAAAGAAACAGTGTTCTTGAGCATGCGCACTTTCAGAAGAATTAATAAATATTGAAGTGCCAGATTTTTTTGAATGGAGGCTAGTTTGCTACAAAGAGCTGCTGAAGCCCCGAGCAACATCACGCGCTGCCGACTCAAACACTGACTAATCAATAACAAACCACGAGCAGTGATTCACACCTGTGTAAAACAGCAAGTTTGGGGGCTTTTAAACGGAGTGACTGGGTGAAAGGAGATAGCTGTTGCGATTTAAGGCACTGAATACTCGCACAGCAGCGTTTTCAAGCCGCAGCCCTGTCACAAGAAGGAAATACAGATTTAGCAAAACACCCAGGACACGCAGAGGCAGACCACTCCAATTTTTCCACATAATGCCACACACAGAGCCAAGGTGAGCCACTACGTTCGGCGTCAAGTTTACTGAAAAAAAAACCCCACCATCCACGTGATTTCAAAATAAAACGGCGTCGTAAAAGAAATCCCAAACACTTCTCCTCCTGTGTTTTTTTTCTCAACCACAGCCCTGCGCTGTTCACTTCACACACAATTTTAACACCACCCAGCTGCTTTTATCTCCAGTTACCGATGTATTCTACGTCACAAGGCGTTAATTTAGGCTGAAATCAATGCACTTCCTGTCCCTTTATGTTCACTTCTGACCGACTTGCCGCAGCTCACCACCATCACCTCCTCCCTCTCGCAGACAATGAATGAAGCCAGTTTTGGGAATGGGCAAGCCCACCAGCAGCTCAGGTAGCCGCGTACATTTCTATCGTGCAAGCAGGAAATATTACAAACGCATAAAAGCGTCCTCCGACTGCTCTGCCCGTGCTAGTCACCATATGTTGACTATATTTTTATTTTACCATTCATAACAAATAGCGACTAGAAAAAACACGCTGGATTACAACTATTTAGCAAAGGCGTGTACAATGCTACAAATACACTAAAATAGCACAACAAATGGTAATATTTCAAACAACGCCCCCTTGACACCATATATGAGCTTACATTACCTGCAGGATGCTCAACTTCACTTCCCTGCGGTGCGTCCACTGCTTCACCAGCTGCGTTAAGTCAACCGAGGTTGTCCGAGAGGAGACAGGAAATGACCAGATTTGCGTTCAAACTAAAAGCGAAAAAAACCCATGCCATTAGTCTTGTGGCGTTGACGGGACGAAAATAAATCGTCGCTTATTTTATTTACAAACTATAGCTTTAACGTTTGTTTGAAAACAAATAAATAAACCAAAGTCAATGGGCTTAGGTTAAAGCTTCACTCATGACAGCCAAATGTCACATTTAAAACCGGAATCGCCACATGCCATTCTAGCTAGCTTGTTACTAGCATAATTCAGTAACACCTCATACAGCACATCAGATAATAGTATTTATGCTAATTTATCGTAACACCTCCAGCTGCCGAATTCCGGCTCCCTATCCTGTGGACTCGGACAGAAGCTTTCTGTGTCACACCAGGCGGAGAAGAAGCGTAGTTGTTACCAGCTAACGTAATTAGTCCAGTCCAGATGCGGTAGTTGTAGCGGGACGAAGCGAATTCCCCCAAAAGTGTACGCTGTAATTTGCCATCGCGCTAGCATCATTGCTGTCAATGTCCGGTAAATTAAAAATGAAGTATTTCCGGCCATTGCTTTTCAAACAAACAAGCACAAGAAAGCAGGAACAGCTTCAATAGCCTTCAGTAATAATATTTCTGAAGTGAAGCAAAAATTAAGGCAACACCAGTCACCTCAACACAAAATCATTTGTAACTTATTAAGAAGTATACGTGGACCAGTAAAACAGGTTTTGCTAATAAACAGCAATAAAATCCGAACGTGGTGACGTTTCTGTGCAGTTATTCTGGTGGTCTAGTCGCTTAATTTCCGCTTTGCGTGTTTATTATTAAGACGAGCTTAACTGAAGGCTACGTCATGCCACCGCTGGAGCGCAAGACACAAACCTAGGCGCGCTACCAGGAGACCCGTCACCTTACAGTTATGTTACAGCCCAACAACATTAGACAAACAAACTACGTTCATGTTAAACTACATAATTTCTTTCCTGACGCGTGAGAGCTTTTTTTATATATTTAATATATTTGTATTTGTGGCCTGAATATTATATTCGTCATTGTGTTTTCTTAAATCAAAGAATGTGGACTTTTTCCGTTTTGAGTGGCTCGCACTACATTTACAGCGCAAAATAAAACAAAATAGTGAAATGACAAAATAAGATTTAGAGAATGAATCGCTGAAACGGGTTGACAGCAGAATGATCTCATTCTTAATGCAGTCTCATTAGCAGGAGAGATGCAGTCATTAATTATGCAAAAACATATTTGACTTTATTGATTTGAATGCGCGGCACGGTGGTTAGCACTGTTGCCGCACAGCAAGAAGGTCCTGAGTTCAATTCCACCATCAGGCCGGGGTCTTTCTGTGTGGAGTTTGCATGTTCTCCCCGTGTTTGCGTGGGTTCCCTCCGGGTACTCCGGCTTCCTCCCACCGTCCAAAGACATGCAGCTTGTGGGGATAGGTTAATTGGACACTAGGTGTGAATGTGAGTATGAATGATTGTCTGTCCCTGTGTGTTGGCCCTGCGACAGACTGGCGACCTGTCCAGGGTGTACCCTGCCTCTCGCCCTATGACAGCTGGGATAGGCTCCCGCGACCCTGAAAAGGATAAGCGGAAGCGAATGGATGATTTGAATACTGAAATTTAATATGTGAAACTTTTAAATATATTTTTACTCCAGGATTTTGCCTTCCTTTATCTTGATGTTTAGTCCTCATATGCTTGGATCTGTGATGAAAGTCCTACATGAGTGTAATGAAGACTACTGGGGCTGCCTATTAAAATATGTCACAGGGCTCCAGGGCAGTACTTTTTGTTTATTTCCACATGGGTTGCCAGGTTCTTCAAACCCTCCAAAGACTAGAGGTGCAGCCACTGTTGACAATGGTGATGACGATGATGAGAAGGGTCTCCTAGGGAAATGCTGAGAATACCAAAGGACTACCGGGAGAGGAGAGCAGCGAGTCCCCAATGACAGCATGATCCTATAACTGGCTTATGCAACTGATCAGCGCCTCATTCTGCATTATATAACAGCATTAGGTTGGCCTGCTGCTCATAGCTGAGCTGTGGATGCAGGGGCAGTCACCCACATCAATATGGGTCAATTCACAAAATCACAACTTTGACCAGGAATTCTGCATTTTGTGGTTTTTAATGTGTGCAACTGTACTAGCGCCAGATTACTCCCATAACCAGTCATTGCAGCAAATTAACCTGTTTAGTGACCTATGTCCACAAAGCTGTTACCTGTCAGCCTTATGGGAACACTGGCGTAATGTTATTGTGTCATGTTGTGATTTTTTTTTTTTTGGTTTGTTTTTTAACAAATTATGCTAAGAGTTTAAAATATCAATTTGTTTTGCCCTAAATAAATGTTGTTTACATATGTGTTTTGGTATTATGTAACTATTAAAAACTTAACCTGCTATAGAATGGTGCAGTTTGCACAAATTAGTTTTCATAAGAACTGGATTGATAATCAGTGGCAACAGATCTTATGGCGTGATGAATCCATATTTGAAATTTTTGGTTCCAAACCTTGTCAGTATGTGGGGAAGAGGTCAGGAGAGAGGTAGGACAGGGAGTGTATGTAGCGGAGGGGGGTGGGGGGTGGGGGAGGTTGTGAGTAACCCAGAGTGCAAGAAAATCTTATTTTTGTGTGGTTGGAAAAATATTCAAAAATGTCATGAGAACATTGAAGAGAAAATATGCTGTTCAGTCTCCAGGCAAGACTTTATAGGCCAGTCACTTGCTGCTCATCCCCAAAAGATAGCTTGAATAAACAGTTGTGTGTAAGCAGCTTGTTCAGGCTGATCTTGTGATGGGAAAAAGCACATTCCCCCACCACTACTTGCCAAATGGTTGTGTTTGTGCTGGACAAGAGAATTCCGCATAGAAGGAACACAGTGAACAACATCGTCACAGCACCATGTGATCAATGGAGAGTGAACAGTGAAGCATTTGGAAATGTCTGCCAGTCAAGAGTTCAGCAGGCAGCATAAAGTGTTAATAAATAAATTTGAAAAAGTCTATATATAAAAGTACAACACATCTTTATAGACTTTGCAATAATTAAAATCAAACAATGTTGCTAATCATGCTGGAGTTAAAGGGAGAACAGTACCATCTGCAGGACAGTAATATTACTGCATACAGGTTTAAAAGAATGTCAGCTTTATTACTTATATTGAGTCAAAGCTACATGTCAAATTTTTTTACAGATATCAAATGTATGCAAAACATTTAAAGGGCACAATATGTGAAGTGGACAAAAGTGTGAAAAACAAAAACAAAGGGTAACTCAAATACATCTTAGAAACCTAAACATGTTCCCATCAAACTGAAACAGAGTCAATGATTAAAAAAAGTATGATGTAAATGTAGTGAAACACCATTCCCCATAGAAATCAGCATTCATTTGGTAATGACCTATAAAAGGCATATAGTGCTTTCAATTATATTTGCAACAGTGGAGAATGAGGAAAAATTACCTGAGGTGACAAACTGGAATGTGATTAAAGCTCTTAAGCTCTGTTTCTGTACAACATCCAAGCAGAACAAGTTTAAGCAAAAGCTTTCTTTACTTAAGGTACAAATGGCAAAAGTGCAGATGGCGGCTTTTAACTGAAATCCCTGTCAGGGAGCACCAGCGGAGCCACCAGAGTCCAGAGATAGAGGCCCAAGCCGATCCAGCTGGAGCTGATCTTCACCCAGACGGCTGGCATGCTGGACTGCATGGCGTGGTAGTCAGTGTCAGGCCTAGAGAATCACAAGAGACAGTCAGCACTGGGAGAGAAGAGAACCTCTTTAAGATGTAGTGGCAGCAAACAGGACATACTTACTTGTACCAGTTTGTGAGCGTCATCATGATGTAGAGCGAGGCCAGAAAGAGACTGAAGTGGAAGAAGGAGTAGCTGTAGGTCACTCCATCTTCCTCATTGTCCACAGCCCGTCGGACTCCGTCCTCCCCCGCGGGGGCCTCTTCGCTGGCAGTCAGACCCTGACCTTCCTCAGTCTGCATCAGTCTGTTCACTTGAGCATTGTTGGATGAGCGGATGCTGTGATGGGGAACAGCATGAAAAGCTCACTTTTCACAGACAACAGAAAATTTCAGCAGCTTCTTATTGTGGATGCAGACGAACTGGTTTTGAACTGGTTTCCATTTTGAACTAAGTGAATATTTAGATTTCTTATGCATTTTTTTTCTACGTTTCTCTGTGTGGAGTTTGTGGTGTGTTTATTACAAAGTAGATTTTTTACAGCAACAATTCAATGCCACATGCAAACAAATAATTATATTTTTGGCCACTCCATTATTCACCAGCATGTTTGATGGGTCTTTTTGTATCTACCGAAGAAGAAATGTATCCTGCAGTTGTCTCTCTCTCAGTTGTCACATGAACTTTTAACCCCGTAAAAGTTTTCTGTTCATGGAGGTGATACTTTCTGAAATTTGGTGGTTGGGGCTTACAACACTCAACCTGTCTGATAAGTAAATATGAACACTCTGCGAGTACTTGACTAATCAGTTTTAGTCCAGATTGCAGGTAAACTTACTTAAAGTTTTACATTCTGAGAGTCTGAATCCTCTTTACTGCTACTGCTCATCTCTCTTCCTGCACTGACTCAATGACCTTGCTTGAAAATCTCTATCAACAGCAGCACAACTTAAACATCCTCTATGCTTCCATATATGTTTTATTGTCCTTTTTTAAAAGCTAGTAGCATTTATGTACTACAACAATCCAGTATAGTCATTTGGATGAACAGCAGGGTTCCTTTTTTACACTTCCGCTGCTTAATCAACACAATCGTGTGTTTAACCATGTTGATTTGCTTCAATCTGAAGCATTTTTGATATTTAATGACCCCACTGACAGACAGAGCTTGATAACACATCAAACACTTCTTTTCTTTCAGCAGCAGCAGTAAAATACCTGGCGTAAAGAGTGCAGAACAGGAAAATGATCAATCCCACGATGCCTTGCGCATCCCACCACTGGGTGGTGCCGGGGGCTGAGGTGGGTCCTGGTGCTGGAGTTGGGCTGCTGGATTGGACCAAGCTCAACAGGCTGGGGTTACACTTCCGGTCTGAGGTGGGAAAGCAGGAAGTCGGGTGAGCACTAACAGTTAGCGATGAGAATTGTCTCCATTAAGACCACAACAGCATGTAGCTCTAAAAACACGTGTACTTGTTTTCTTTAGCTTTGAATACACTGCAGCCATACAGTGGCTCAATTATTGGACTTACTGGGGTTGTTGGTCATGGCTGACCAGGTGACATACATGGTGTAAAGGGAGATGAGGGAGGCCTGAAGCAGACCTGAGGTGGGCTGTGCCTCCTGTGGAGACGTGGAGAAAGCCAAACGTTAGAAAAGAAGGCAGCGTCTGTTAATCAAAAGGTGTGGCCCTGCTCCTGCAGTCTGCATGTCTGTGTCTTTGGACATGATACTGAGCTTGCCCCTGCTACATCCATCTGAGTGAGTGTGTACAAAGCAGTTAGTGAATATTGTTTTTGTAAAAATGCAGTTTGAGTGAAGCACCATCATAGTACCAGCCCACAAAGTCCTTTTATCATTAACACAAACCTCATTATCAAATAAAATCACATCAAGTGCAAGTAACTGAAGTTAGAAGTGAACTCAAACAAATTGAATTTAACATTACACTGGACAGCTGTAATAGCCTGAATTAGTCACTTGATTACTGATCTTTTCTCATGAGAAAAGTCTTTTCAGTGATTTTTTTCTCACTTTCTTTGCTACGGCACAGGAGCGGCAGACAATGCTCCAGTGAAGTTGTCGGGGCTTTAACATACGGTGGCCCTGAGAGGTCAAATGCACCGCAAACAGAAAAGCGCTCCAAAAGCACACAAAACACAATGGAATTGAATAAAACACACTGCAAAGAGAGAGAAAAAATGATGCAAAAGCTACAAAAAAATAATTACAAAACACAACAGTGTTTCTGTGTTCAACGTTTCTGGGGAGACAGTAACATGACAGAACAGCTGTGGAAGTGACAAGCTAACAGTGAACAGCTAATAGCAAATGTATCTACGGTGTTATATGAATCATGTGTTTAAAACTTGCATCTTTTTCTCCCTACAACACTGATGAACCCTCAGTTGCTTCTAAGTGTATCTCAGTGCAATCCTTTCTGTGATTTCTGCAGCTGGTCCGTGGTGTTATTGCGACCCCAGAATCACTGCCGTCGTGTTTTGCAAGCTTTTTCTTAAGTTCCAATCCGTCTGACCTCTCAGGGCCACCACATTAACGTGGCAGCAGCTTTTTCTGTAAATTATAGAAGTCTATCTCCTCAAGTTTCTACATCACCTGGACTTTGGGCAGAATGGACACAATGGACACAATGATGCAGAATATGAAGTTGAGGCTGATGAAGACTTTGTGCTCTGTGCAGTCGTCAAGTTGGGTGTAAAAGATATAGAAGAGCACAATGGCTGTAAACGCCAAAGCGTAGTTGATGAAGGTGACGGAGAGGAGAGCTGTGGGGACAACACAAGAACAGAATCAGAGACAATCGTTTTAAAGTGACACGTCGCTGGGTCGTATAGTAACACTGACTCACTGAAGTACCAGCTTCTTGATCAAAATCCTAGACTTTTACAGCACAACCTCAAAGTTAGTTCAGTGGCTTTTATGCAGATAAATTATCTGTATAATGATTAAGGAAAAAAAAGTAGTACATGTAGTTTAAACATAGCCTAATCTTACATAATATCCCGTACTATCCCTTATCTGGGAAACTCCAGCTTCTCCACAGAACTATCACTTGAAGATCTGGTAGTATTATACCTGCAAACCAGCACTTGGTGTTTCCTTCCTCCGCCTTCTCGAGCCAGGACTGGTTCCAGGAATGGGCAAAGTCAATCAGTAGGATGAGCTGGATGATGATGAAGATGAAGGAGCCCACCATGCCGAAGTAATACCACACTTGTAGCAGACAGAATGAGATCAGTTAAGTTTCCACAAGTTCGCTCTCTGTGTGGTGTTACAGACATTTGTTTACAACAACATGAATCTGGATCAGGAGCATCGTCATTAAAATCTGATCAGGCCTAACAGATAAGACACGTTTCCATGGTAATGCAAATTCATGTGAGATAAGCCCTGTACTGATAAACAACTCTTAAAGATCTATCACAACAAAGCTAAAACCTTTATACTGAAAGACTTAATTTTATGAGTTACTGACGTTAGAGCTCAGCTCTCTTCTCTGTCGCTGTCCAGGAATCTGTCAATGCTGCATAGCATTGTGGGAAATTTATGCCAAGACTACTGGGTTCATACCAAGTTTTAGACATATCAAAAAAAAAAAAAAATGTAGATACTACTGAATGTCATACTCTACATCAGTTATGGACTAATACACTAAACAATACAATGGTATGTAACTGAATACTAATATAAGTCCCCACTTTAAGTTTCCATTTTCACAGAATTTCAAAAAGTTTAACTACAGGCATTAAGATTCAAGCTCGAATTTTATCAGAACTGTCCTCACTGTGGCTAAAACCATACCTGTATTAAAGTCTCCATCTGGAATGAAGAACGCTCCCACAGTTATACCAACCAGCACCAGAAACTTGAAGAACCAGAAACTGAGGGAAAAAAAAAATCAATGTTATTCCATCTATGTACACACAGCAAACCGGTTTATCAGTGTTTGTGTAAATGCATTCTTAAAAGGTGCAGTGTCCACGTTTGGCCACCAGAGGGCAGCATGCTGTGGCAACATGGAGCAGAGAAAACAAAGCTGCAGCACTAACCCGTTCTGGATGGCTGCTCGGGGATCCTTGCTGCTGCGCACTCGGATCATGATGATGGAGAAGAGGAAGAAGAAGCAGGCCATGGCAAAGCACATGCGGTACACAGACTTGTAGCCCACGATGATGTCACAGTTCACCTTGTTCTCTATGCCAATTATGTGCGAACCGCCGACGCAGAACCCTGGAATCTGACGTGAACGCAAATAGGAAATTAAAGGGTGAAAGGGCAACGGTGGGGTACAACTGATTCATCTAGATTTATCAGGAAGCTCTGGGATAAAATAACCCAATTCAAACATCCAGTTAGGTCACTTTGAAATATCTGTGTTGATGGATTAATAAACTGTTTTCATAGCCATTAAATCTCATTCAACCTTTTTAAGATTTTCCTCCATGCCTGGCAGAATCATGATGATGGACACCAGCGTGCCCAGCAGCAGCAGGAAGGAGAAGGCCAGCCGGCTGATGGTGGAGTTGTATGTGGAAGGGCAACATGATGACAGCAGGCAGGAGGCCGAGCCGCACAAACAGGATGCCTGGAGAAGGACGAAAGAGAGAAATATCAGGACAGCTTCATATTTTATGCAACTCAGGGATAGGACTCGGGGGGTGTAGGATAATCAGGATAATGCATGCATGGCTTGCAAACACTGTGGTTAGGAGGGGGGAAAAAACAAAAACAACAACAAAAAAAGATACCGTACTGCTGCTGCTGTCAGGGGCAACCATCTTTCTCTTTCTTCTGCATGTTTTCAGGAGAGCAATGACAAGCCATTCTTTCCTTCCTGTGGTACTAATCAAGTCTGTGATTAGAGATGCCACCATAACAAATCTCTCCTCCTGTCTGTTTCTGATCCGGCGCTGCAAACCGGATCACGCAGGACTTCTGCATGATTCACGCGCTTGCTGCTGAGAGGTGTATGAAGCACCGAGGCGGAGACTGTAGCTGAGAGCAGCCATCCTTCACTAAATATAAGCATGCTCCAGAGGACACGAGCCCAGGGTGTAAACACTGCAGCTGCGCTGAAAAGCATTCGGTTTCTACGGCTGAGCCGGGCCTGTGCCACAGACTGCTGGCAACAAACAGCATGAACTGAACAGCTGACCAAGTCAGTGACACATGTATTAAACCCAATCGTGAAGTTTCTCCAAGACTGCCAGAAGAAACCGGCTGTGATTACCATGCATGTCAGCTAATTAAATATTTTGGTTTTACTGTACAACATGAGAAAAGGTGAATGGCAAACTTCAGCACACCTAGAATCTCTTCCAGAAGGTGGATTTAGTGCCACATTTAGAGAAAAACCGCCTGAACAGCAGTATTTGATATGACCACCTTCAATCTTTAACACAGCCTCATCACTCTTAGGCAGGCTTTCTTGTCATTTCCTTCATCTGCAGGAATAGTTCTCCAGGCTTGCTGAAGGTCATTGAAAGCTCTTCTTTGGATGTTACCAGCCTTTTACTTTGTTTCCTGTCAGGATGATCCCACTGCTGCTGCTTCACTAATGTTGAGGTCAATCCATGACTGGTAGTGTGTTCTGTTTTTATCCAGGAACACCAGGAATCGGCAGTTGTTTACTTTGCTAATGTATCTGTTATGTGTAGACACAAAAAGGGTTCAACTCTCTGACTAAGGTGCCTTTTTATGCTTGAATAATTTTTAGGTCAGCGTTACTGTGTCAACAAACAAAAAGATAAGCAAAACAAAAAAAACACTCCCCATTAAATAAACAGGTACAACGATTGGACTAACAAAGAGAGTGAAAAAGCAATGCCTGGCTTCTTGAAATCAGAATACTGCACTATATTTCACACTGTAGTCATTTCCACATTTCCAGCTCTTAGAAACTGCAATAAATCTCAGACTCTGTCCTTAACAGCATGAACGATTTCCTCTTCTTGGCAAATGTGGTCATCAGAATGAGAAAAAAAGTTTCGGTTTTAGTTGACGTGATCTATGGTCCACCATCACAACGTATTCCTGCGCCCAAAACACACCACTGTTACTTTAGATGACACCGCGATGAGGAAGTGACGACATCTGAGTGTGTTAAAAAGTCAAAAGTTCAAAAGCTGCGACCTTGGATTTTGTTTTAGGACATTCGTTCGCTACATTTTCCTTGCAGAACCACCTTTCATACTTTAAATGTTCCAACATGTGACAGGATTTAATGTTAGCTACCGACCCTGGATCCGATATTTGAATATGGCAGTTAAAATAAACAAATAAAATGTTAAAGTAGTGCTTGAAAAACTCAAAATGACGTTGTCTTGGAGGTTTTGTATATGCTTTGAAACACGGATCACAATCTTCAAATTGCCGAGAGGTAATCTAATCAGTTCCCACTGAATGACGTCTTCACTTACGTTTGATTTCAGTTTGAACAAGTCATTAAAAACGTTGGTTTTCATCACAATATGTTGTGTCAGAAGTCTCAAAAACTAGATCATCATTTGCACATGAACAGCACAAACAGTGCTGTTTTTTTTAATGTGGCACGTGACTTTATATCTGAGGAAACTCCGGAAACTCCACCTTGGACAGCTAGCTGCGTCGTCTACTGATGTACTGACTGAAATGATGTGGGTCGTAGCCGCAAACCTTTCTCCACGTGTCTAAACTCACCATTCATCGTCACTTTAAAACACTAAACCACGTTACTCACTTTATCTGCTAAAACGCTTCAGAAAGTTGATAATTCCGACGTCCCTCGAATCCAACTATCCAGCACGGATTTCTTTAGAACATTAAAGAAAGTATAAGATCAAAGTAAATGTCACAGGACATGTGTAGTGTTAAGTTTGTCAGTAGGCTAAAGGAAACTAATCTAATTTTAGCAGTTTCACTTGAAGTTGTGTCATTTCCCTTGCCTAATGTCGGCCTGCCTAGTAAAGCAAGGCAAAAGAATTAGATAAAAACAAAGAAATAAGGACGTTTAAAAGCTACTACGTATTTCATTTGCAAACACGACAACCGGCAAATGTATACTTACACAACTTCCGAGTGAACCCAGAGCCAAACAAGCACCCATGATGTTTTAATTCCGTAAAAGTCTCGGTAAAAGTCCTCAAAGCTCGAAAAGTTCAGGAAGAAACTGACGCAAAACAATGGAGTCAGGTTAATTACACGGAACACATTGACAGACGTCCGCACGAGATCTTCAAATTAAAAGATTCTTTGTCTGCACGTACACAATTAAGGGATAATCCATAACTGAAAACACAAATATTTCAGTTAATCATACATGTTTGCATTAGTTTACACCCTCATATGAAATACAAATAATCCGCGGAACGCTCTGTTGCTGTTAAAACTGTGGCTGCTCTGTTTTACTTTGACGCCTAATCGACTGCACTTCCGGCACTGCTTGGCTAAATTGGGTAAAACTGCGCGCGTGACAGTTTTCTCTGGGGCGTTACTGTTAATAACCAGATATTTGGCTTTTGGCCATCCAAAATTATTGTGATTGAATCCGTGAGTTGTCCCTCCAGAAATGTGGCCAATTATGTGCTAATGCGCAACAGCGAAAACGCCCTTCTTTTACAGGCCTTCAAACACCTAAACCAAAACGTACATCACGTTTTCTTAGAATTCCCTACTAAATTTCTCAGTGAACTATGGTCAAGTAAAAAGAATAGTCATTAAAAAAGCAGAAAGACAATATTAAATAGTATTATTATTATTATTAACAATGATTTTATTATATGAGAAACATGTTTCCTATTATGCTGTTTTAATGAGTGTTCTCTAAAACCATAGGGTGTTGTGTCGTCATCCATTTTATTGACATTTTAATTCTAGTGATCATTTTATAGCGTTCCTTTAAATGCCTTAACATTTAATGTCTTTGTGGTAAAGAAATGTTAAATACATGTTTATTTGATTTATTACAGCTTACAGCACAAATAAAAAAGAAAAAGAAAAAGTAAAAGTAAATAAAAAAAAACTGAAGGTGAGTTTAAAGCAGTAGGGTGCAAACCTCCATCTGTTTGTGTGTCTGACCTTCAGGGACGCGGTGAAGGTGTTCAGCTGTGAGTAATTTGTTACGGTGCAAGGATCTATTTTCCGCCTCTTCACACTTGCTTTCTCTACCAGATAAAAAGATGTTCAAATCAAACCCTTTGATACATAAAATCATAATCAATCCGATGTTTTTCCAAACATTCCGTGTGTCATTAGACTTGTTCTAGATGTCATTTGATAATAAGAGGTCCACTGAACAAAGTATTTAGAGTGTAAAAATTGCCTGTTGACTAAAACAACCTCAGAAAGCGCTTTGCTATTACAGCATCGCTCTTCTTCTCTTAATGTTTTAAGGTGGAAGCCTTAAACAGCCTTGGCATGCATATTGCAGTCTCACTGCAATCTCTGCAGTAGGAAGGATTGAAATATTTGTGGTATTTAGGACTAAAGACATATGGTGGACTTATCTGATTCAAAGGGCATGTAAACAAGCGATACTGCTTCTGATCATCTAAACGTATAAAAAAGGCGCACCCCTCACTCATAAAACAATGGTACAAACCTTTGAGCCACAAGACTAAGCCCAGAAAAGAAAAGTAACAACGGAAATTGTAGCAAATTACCTTCAAAATAAAATAAAGCTATTCAGATCAATGACTGTAGAAAACAGATTACAGAAGGCAAAATCAATAATATTAAGAGGTGGAATCTGTTTTGATCACGATAATTGGTTTGTGTTGATTTCATGATTGTTAAAAATCTGCGATAATTTTGTCATGAAGGGTTTTCAAAAATTAAGGAAGAGAAGAGGGTCAATATCTATTTGGTAAGTAGAAAATGATACAGTAGCCAAAGGCTTACAAAGATTATTATGTAAGGTTGCCATTCTTGTACACTTGTGTTTTGGTTTGCACTTTGCACCTCCTTACACTCAGCTGCACAAGTCTGCCCTTTAACTTATGTTATTATTATTATTATTATTGTTGTTGTTGTTATCAATAATAATAATAATAAATCATCTATATGCTATTTGCATATTTTTAATTGATTGTTTTCACATTTTCTATTTTATTTAGTCAAACTCTTCAAGCTTTCCAAATCCCTCCTGCTTGTTTTTAACTTTTTATGGCTGTTACTGTCGTCCACTAAATACAAAGCGGATTTGCTGTCATTGTAAAATTAATTGACATTACAACTAAGTACTGCTTTATTTTTTTAATCCATATATTCAATGAATCTTTCTGTTTCTGTCATCTTGCCTACTTTTTCTAAAGCTTGCTGTTGCTCTTATTTTGAAGGCCGAGTTCCCCTCTCTTCCTGTATCTCCCGGCCTAAGCACGTGCGTCTTGACCCGCCTCCTTGTTGCCGCTGCTAAGCGCGCAGTGAAGCGCTCCTCTGTCCGTGTGCTGTCACCGCTCATCATTTAGTCCACCGTGCCGCGGGTCCGGCGCTGTCATCTGGAATGAGGCGGTGTGGTGTGTCGTATCGGACGGACTCCTTGACACTGCGCACATTCTCTTCTTCGTCCCTGCGGAAGATGGTGGCTGGCGGCTAATTCCAACTTCTTACTCCTTGGAGGTCCCTTATGCCCCCCCTCGCCTGAAGCGCACTGAAATCAGTTGGTGAGTGTTCGTCGTTGCGCACATATACCTACACTTGTTCTGCTCTACAGGTAGGACAGCAGACTGTTGCCTGCTCATGTGCCTCCGAGGCAGACTGCAGGAGAGCTGCTGGTTCCATAGATTAAAGGCAGGGTGGAATTATTGTGGCATGCTGGAGCCATTATGTACACCGAAAGTGATTAAAAAAAGAGAGAAAGAAAGCAACAGGAGCACCGACTTATCTGCCAGCAGCACTCACATCTGGCACCAGCTGAAGGCTCGTTCAAACCGAACAGCACCTTATTGTAAACGTTGACAGGTGTCAACTCCAGCAGCCTACCTGTCAACTCCGTATGAGCTGGTAGCACTGAGCGCATCAGCTGTTCACATAAAAATGCCACAGGCTCCCAGCAGCGAGGTTGATGGTAGCTGGATTATCTGCTTTATTAAAAGGTGGGTAAACTGTGACCTTCAGGCATGAAGTGTTGAGATAATTCTCAGGCTGCGTTTAAAATGATTGAAAACAATGATGGATGTTCGCAGGAGAACAGGCTTTTGGTTTCCATAATCTACCACAAACATCACTACAAGAGGCTGGAAACTCTAAACCTTCACTAAAATTAATCTTTTATAATGCTTCATACCTGCCTATTATATATTAACAGGTGACACTGTTAAACCCTTTAATCTACTAAACTCTTAATAGCCTTGCTATGTTTGTCCTTATCCATGAGTTTCAGACCCCCTAGTGAGCAAAGGGCCTTGAACAAGCCTCAGTCTTTATGCTTTGGTGAAGCTAAACGTGTTCCCAAAAACAGCTCAGGATTTAAAACCCTGTCTGCCTGCTTCTCTGTGTTGCATCATCTTGCACGAGCTCTGTAGTGAATCATAGTTGTACAATGTCAGGTAAAGAAATTGCAGTCCGGGGTCGGCCTGGGTGTTAGCAGAGCCTTCCTATTTTTCATAGTCATTTTAGCTCCGAGGCACTTGGTTTCAATTTATGATTTCACCCTGTGTTAATTACATCACCATGAGGTCATGTTTGAGAATCAGCCTCAGTTCTGATCAGTAGCTGGCACCAGTGGGGCTTTTTTTTGGCCTCTGTGATGCAGTGATACCTGTCAATCACGCTGTGTGGACAATGCGGTCTCAAACCAGTGGCTCCCTTTGTTTTTGACAAAACCACTAAAGGAATGTGAAAATTAAACTCTTGATTTTGCTGAATCTCAATAGCAGTGGATGTAGACACATATATAGTTTGTCTTCATTAAATTAAAATTGACTATATTCAAAGCTGTTGGGCTGCTATTTGTTATGAAATGGAATACTTTTAATTTTATTTGTTCTTGGACAGCTCAAAGTGGCCCGCAGAGCTTTCTAGTTACTCTATTTCAATGTGGGCCTACACATTTTTTCTTTTTCACTGTTGTTCTGTTTTTCTAGTATTTAAAATAATCAAATATTGCAGTGATTATAGTTAAATAATCCTCCTAACCAGACCAGCCAACTGCAGAATAGTCACATGTGGTAGAATATTAACATATATCGATAGGTTAATTTATACTTAATAGGCGGTGGCGACTTCATTAAGATAAGATTAGACCTTAGAGTATAAAGCTCCTTGAGGCAACTGTTGTTGTCATTTTGACACTGTATAAATAAAACTGAATTGAATTAGACAGCATGTACTTTATTTATTCCAACATCGGAAAATTTGTGACAACAGTTAAAAATGTTTTTGAGACAATAGACATGGCTTAATAAGCAGGTATTATAACGCTCCATTATGTCTCAAGGCTCCGTACCTTTTTTTTAATGTCAGAAATTGTTATAAAATAGCGCTTTTGTAAAGATTACCAAACCCTGCCCGTGTTGTTATTATTTTTTATTCATTTATTTTTGAGTTTTGGTCGTGTTTGTTGTAACTTATTCGTTCTTCTACAAAAGGAATCCTTTTGATGTTAAAAAAAACGACCTATTGTAACCTTTTATACTGTATAGTCACAGCAGTGTTGGCAAACAACTGCCTCAGCAAGATTAGCATTGATCTAAAGTTGTGTTTCTAGCTATTTGAAGAATATTGTCATTACTTAGTGGGGCTGTTTAGGTTTCATTCAACTCCCAGTATGATACCAGAAATTTGGAAGTGGGTAACAGCTGCGTAATTCTTGGTTTAAAACAAAAAATAGAGCCGATCTGATTTTTATTGGTAGGCCAGTATTATTGACCGATGTTAACTATTTGCTGATCTATTTGCTAATAAGGGAAAATTTAACATTGTACATTACTTTACGTTGTACAGTTTTCCACCAGAGGGCACTCAGCAGTATTAGGAAAACATACGTTTGCAACCCCATACATAAACGTAACAACCAGCTAAATGGAGAGCGTCAAAAAGTATAGTACACATAACAAATGTTAGGGAAATCTGTTTATGTTTCGTGTGTCTAAAAGAGCAAAAAAAACAAAACCTGGCTGATATATTAAAATATTTTGGATTTTTAAAATCACCAAATATTGTTACTGACATTGATCTTAAAAATCCTATATACATATAAT